AAGAGGGGCAGAGACCAGGGCAGAGCAGGGCAGGAAGGACTTGCCAGGAGTGTGAACAGATCTTGTCCCAGCCACTGTTCCGCTCCAGGCCATAACTTCCTTCACTCACAAGAAGAAATCAGAGGGAAATGCCTCTGGCTAGCCGAGAGCAGAGTATTATACCAAGTGATCAGAGGCTTCTTATTTTGTCTTTTTTTTTTTTTCCCTTCTTTTTTTTCCTTTTTAAAAGTACCTAGATGTTCCACTTAAAATAAGACTAGAGGGCTACATGTGAATATTAGATTTTTAGGTTACACTCGCTGCTACGTGAGTTACACTCATACCGCTGCATTGGAAACTCAATGCCAATAAATTATCCTGAAGGTAGAAACAAAGAACAAATGATCAAAAGTGTGCATATGTTAAATTATGGTTAATAAGAATGATAAAAAGCTAACATGCTGAAGAACTAACTGCACACTGAACCAGCTCTTATACAATCACAAGAGAAGACTGAGACAAAAAAAAAGTATGAAAAAAAAAAAAAAAAGTCCTACAGGACTAATTTTATCTATCAAAAACTCCTTTTCCTCAATTATAACAGCTTCCCAAGGGAGAAAGAACCAGTGCTCACTAAACAAATGCACACACATTATTTCCCAGATCTGGTTATGCTGGTTTTCCCCCTTTACCTTGAATTATAGCACTGAAAACCCATCCCCCTTGCCAGTTTCACCATGCAACTACAGCAAGAAAAAAAACTCCAAACAAACAGGGTGCTGTAACAAAAGGCAGAAATTGGCTGCAAATATCTGGAATGTCAATACAGTCCAAGCAGAAAAGTAAGAATATCAGAATAAAATACAGCTTCAGGTCACAGAGTCCAAGAAACATATAATGCTTTGTTTGCAACAACATGCGAACAAGAGATTGTGGATGCACTTGTCCTCATGCGACTGTATGCCAGGAGAAGATAAAGCACAGTAATTATAAACTTGAATTGCTTGGAAATAATCTAATCATCCATAGTTTGCAAGTGTAAAGATCTTATCAATTAACAGCATGAGTTCACATCAAAAAGTTAAATCACTTTCAAACGCAGAAGATACATTTCAATGCAAACATTTAAGGTACCCAAGACCAGCCGGCAATCTGTGTTGTTTGTAGAAAAGCACGCTTCTGTGTCAGTACACCACATTTAAGTTTAAACCAGAAGTTACTGCTAAATATTTTAGCCTAATGGGCTGTAAAATAAAGAAATGGAAGCCACATTAATTATTCCTTGCCTAAAAAGCAGAAAATGCTCCATGACATCATCAGCTCCCATTGGTTTTTCCTGTATTAAAAGACCATGAGCTGCAAACGGCCAGATGTGAATTAAAGAGATCATGTAGTAAGAAAACAGATTTATATCCAAGAGGGCTGGATGTAGATGACAAACCCTTCCTTCAGTTGTACAAACCAAGCCCTGGACAGGTTCATCTGAAACTTTGAGAAGCCAAAGGCAGAAGCTGGTTATTTTACCAAAATTTGGGGGTTCTGTTTGAAAAGGATTCCAAAGTGACCTTGAATCCTACCATTAGCTTTATCTCCCAAGCAAATGAATCTACCTTGCTTGAGGTCAAAGTAAGAGATGACACAGTTTCATAGGTAAACAGGAAGAGGACAATGGGGCACCCTGAATTTTAGCAAAGGATTAAAAGGATGCAAGCTTACTTCCCAGAGTTCATAGATTTCTTTTCTGAGGTCCTCTGATAGAAGCTGGGTCAGTTGTTGCATAGCTGCCTGAAAAAAAGAAGCCATTTCCATTGATCCATTTTTTGAGCAAGCACATTTTTATCATTATCTTTTTTGAAGAATTAACTACTCATTACCAAGTTTGTAGAAATATACACTACACAGTATATTATTCTAAAGTGCACGTGTACATAAATCTGCCAGAGAAACCGTAGGACCACTCAGTGAAGAAACTTTTCTGGGAGCTGCTTAAGTAAATTGTTAGAGAACTAGTCTGAAACACAAGAAAAACAACCTGAAAATCCATCCATCATCTTCAAGAGTCCAAAAAGAAGCCCAGAGCAAAACAGGCAAGTCAAATGCCAGGGAACTGCCATCGATTATCAGCTCTGCCTTCCAGATTTAACTAGTGGAGGCAACATTTGAACTTAATAGGTTATAGGTGCAGTTCCTAAAAGCAGCTTCAAAACACTAACTCCCAGTGTTGACAAGCAGCTGCCCCCTCCCAAACACTCAACTAGCACATTTCCACTAGCAGGGCTTAGAACAGCTACGGACTGTCAGGCAGGCAACACAACATAAGCCTTTAAAAATCTCCAATTTTGAAAAACAGAGGAAAAAAATCCATTTAATACCATGCAGCAATAAAACACAGTGCTCCCAGACTGAGAAATCATTTGTTCAACAACAAAAATCTTGGTACAAGGTTTAACACAGTATCAAACTGATGGTATCACCAGCAAGCAGAAATTGTTCTGCATGCTCTTTGTGCTCTCCCAGCTGATCAGTCTCATTTCTGTGCTATTTCTACTGTCTTCCTAGTAACACTAAGGGCTATTTCCGAAACAATCAACATCACAGGTAAGACAAAAGTTTTGTGCCATGATTGTTTCTCCACTTCAAATACAGGGTATAGTTTCACAATATGGCTGAACTGAATCAGCTCCTCCCCACCACTGAAGCATCAAGGTCTCATTCCTCCCCACCTCCTTCCAGCTCTGGAGCTCATCAGATTTCAAGGTTAGCAGGGCAAAATGACTCACCTGGCAAAAAAAAAAAAACAACCCAAACAACCCCAAACAGAAAAATACAAACTTTTTTTTTTTTTTTAAATCAAGTTAATTTTCTGCTGCCTTAGCCTTGGTGAGACTAGCTGATTAAACTTGCTGCACAAGCAGCAAACTTCAGAACCACCTCAACATCAGCAGTAGAGCAAAGGGGAAAAAAAGAAGTCTGCAGTGGCAGTGGCATATTGATAATTCAGCTCAAGCCACCTCATGAAGCCGTTACCCTTGGTGTATTTTTACAACAAAATATTTCAGAGTCAGCCTAAATGTTTAATGCTTGACCCTCCTTCCCACAAAGTCAACAGCAAAGTCCTCACTGAGTGAAATGGAAGCAGAAGGAGCTGCAAATAAACATACTTAGGTATCAAAACATCTTTTTCATTCCCCAAATACAAATGAGAATTCCCTTTAGGCAAAGCTGAAGCCTGAGGCTTGGGGACAAAACAACCTTTGGAAGCTTCTGGGAAAGAGGGGTTTTTTTTGGTTTTGGGGTTTTTTGGTTTTTTTTGTTGTTTTTTTTTTTTTTTGTGTAAAAACACACTAGGAAGTACACTGAAAAAAACAGAAATACCAAAATTGCAGTCAGTAAAGATAGTACTTCAAGAACACCGAGTACCTCTTTGATCTTTCATTTCCACTTCCTTAGCAAAGAGCTTACTCCTAGAGTTAGTCATAGCCCCCCCAACCCCAAGTTTTAAACAGGTAAGCACAGAACAGGGGGAGGAAACAATCACTGCAACGTTTTTCACACTCTTTGAAGAGCTAATTGCAGCCCCTGAAGAGTTTCCGAGGCATCACGTTGCCCTCTAGCTGTGGCTGGAGGAGTGGTTTACATTTTCTTCAAATGCAACAAACCAGAAATGACAAACCAAAAGGTCGGATATGTACAAGGCCAAAAATAAATAACTCCAGGCATGTTGCACTCAAAGATTCATGACGAAAAGAGACACCTGTGTCTGGAGTCCTGTGCAAATGGTTTAAATAAAGTTTCTGTCACAACCACATGATCTGGCACCACACAAATGATCTGACACAAACTGTCATCCACCCTTCTCAGTGCACCTGCTCCCTGCTCCCCACCTTTTGGTAAGGCCGGTCAACATAACTAATTCAGGCTACCACATATCCAGGCAGTTCAGGAAGAAATGGCCAACAGGAAGATTCCTTCAAAGGTTCTCCTTCCATAACTTTGTACTTGGTGACACTACATGTACAAAAATCACGAGTTGAAAACTTTGGTTGGTTGTGGCATACTTGTTGAAGGCCAATGACAGTATTATGTTGATTAGAGGGTCTCTTCACTACCACCAGAACATTAAAAACACGCAGAACGCTTTGCAGATGTGGCTTCGTGCCTCATGCCCCTACCTCTTCTCTCCTGTGTTTCTCCTCTTTTGAGATATTATCTGCAGGAGCAATATCTCCAACAATGCATTCAGCCATATCGTGAACCAAAGCTAATCGTATGCATCTGACAAGAAGCAAAGACAGAATAATTAGTTTTTGAGCATTTTAAGTTATACCTTGTTATTCATAAAGCTAAGAGGCTGCATAATTTATCCCCTTCATATATTTTACAGGGTTGTTTTTTTTTTTTAATTTTACATAACATTTTTCACTTCTTTGCTAAGGGAAGTAGTTTCCATCTAGACATGATTTTAATTCCTGATTTCTAGCTACTGCTGCTTGTAAATGTAAATTCAAGTATAAATATAGTTTGTACAAGGGCATAGCATTCAACAATAACATATCCAGCGTTTGTATGCTTGGCTTTCAGAGATGTGATAACCAACTACATTATACCCTTCACATTAACACTGCAACAGGTAGAAGGTAATCTGACTGGAGCCACCCCAAATTCAATATATAACCTGACACTCTGAGCTCTGTAGCTATGTCAGTCTGCAGCAGAACACTCAAAAAAGCTTTCACTATTTTCATCAGCTTGTGAAGGGACAAAGCAAGCATGATCCCGTACTAAACTTGACAACTCATTCGACACTAATGCTGCTTTCTCTTCTATGCTATGTGATTTCTGAGGCTCCTTACTGCTGCTGAGTGCTAGCTAAGTCTGTCAAAATCCACACAGCGTATGGCTTTGCCTTTGCTCTTGCTTCAAACTGTGTTTTAACTGAGTGTCTTCAGCTTGCTTACTTATGGCTTGAGAGAAGGCCAGCTCAGAGCCTCTGCATTAACAAGTTGCCTCAGCACCTGGAATTTAGCAGTAAGTCTTTAGCCCCTTTCAGCTCACCAGGTAAATAGCACCCCATCCAAAGGATGGAGGGAAAAGAAGAGGGGAAAGGATTTCAAACTCCTTCAGTGTGTTTTAAAAGCTCTTCCTCAGGATGACAGCTATTTTAAGCGTTTTGGTGGCAGCTCTCCCACGACATTAACAGAAGGTCATAATAACCAGAGGCAGTCTCACCTGTCTTTGTTAAGGCTCTTGTCTTCGGTCACCAAAGCCATCATCGCCATCCTGTACATATGATCAGATACGCTCTCTGGCTTCGCCACGTTCCTGTACACCCATCCCGTCCGTGGTACTCGCTGCGTGAGGAGAGTAGCACAGCAACGTAAACATTAAAACCTTAAGTTTTGAAGGACCTCACTTCAGCGACGCCAGCAGAAACGTTGCCCCACCGTGACCTCCAGGCTCCGGTAAGCCGTGATGGTTCCGGGAAACACCTGCCCCAACGTGAGGCAATGCCTTCCCCTTGCCGTTCACGGGCAAGGCAAAGGCGCCCGCGCTGGCGGCAGCAGCAGGCGGCCTCCTCAGCCTCACGGTGCTCGCCTCAAAGCGCCGAGAGTTGCATAAGAAAAATCTTTCACACTAAATTTTGAATTAAGAATACCTATTGCTGATATAGATGTTGCATGATGCCCCTGTTCATTATATTTCTGATGGATGCTTGACATGTATCTCACAGTTCCTGTTTTCTATTTTAATTGGTAGCAATAAGAAAAGTGATTATTACCCACACTTAAAAAGAAAATCTTTTTAAGTCACAATCTTGTTTGGTGTAACTTTAAAAAGGTTTTTATTGATGGGAATGGAGGATTAATACTAGCATGCTTCCTTTCCTAAGAACAACTTAAGAATACAAGATAATCAGACTGGGAAATAAATACCTGCAAGAATTATTGGGAAAGACTCACTTAACATTTATAAAACTGTTGCAAACTCTTATTTCATGAAAAAAGTATGGTTTTTAAAAAAATCGTGCAAGATGGGAAGATGAAAAGAATGGGGCTTGTGGTATAACTAATAGTTTCCCCTAAAAAAATCCAGTTTAAAAACTCATTTATCAATTGTGAATCATATGCATATCTTATATACAAGAGGTCAGAATGAATTTTCATATTTTGAGGGCTTGTTTCCATAGCCAGATTAAAATATAATATATAAGAGAGGTTATATAGTTTTTGGCTACAGTTCCCTTACGATATATTAATTTTAGATGCATTAGAAGAGCGTTACAGAAGGATATTTTAAGTTAATAGATTTAGCAGATAACAAAAATAAAACTGCTGTTTGTACCAGCATATAGAAAGAGCAGAGCCAGCCAAATACATTCTAAAAGATGACAGCTTTATGCTTAGAATAGAAAAAAAAAAATTGATGATATGTTTCTCTTTTGATGAAAGTGGAGAATGATTTGCTGAATCTTCTTTAACTTGCAAGATTGGGCTCCTCTCCTCTCCTCTCCTCTCCTCTCCTCTCCTCTCGAAAAGTCCCTGGTGTGAAGGAGGGGAATGGCATTGCACAGGCAGGAATAACTCATCCTTTAGTCAAAACTGATCATATCAGTGACCTTTAGCATACTTCAAAAAAAAAAAACCAACAAACCAACAACAGTAAGTAGTGCAAACTCATGTAATTATTCAGAGAAGAGAGGGTAGTTCTCGGAGTTGCAGCACTCGAGTTTTAAATTGTTTTGGGGACTCCTGGAGACTGGATACAGGCACTTCCATCGCTTTCACAAGTTGAATAAATAACGCGCTGAATTACTTTACCGTCAGTGGATTTTCAAAATACATTGCATTTCTTTGCTATTTTTGTGTTGCCAGCTGAAATAGCAGGTAACAGTTTAAATGTGGCAGTGAAATACTCTGTTTTCAGAAAAGAACATCTGCAGTTTGCCAGGTGTCAACACATGGCAGAGTGTTTTTATTTTTGCTCATATGTATACTTAAACACACTCCCAAATTAATAACAAAGCACAGACAGCACTTTGGTGACCGTTTTAAGGCTATCTTCCCACAAGAAACAAGAATCGGAGACCAGGAAAGCCATCAGCTTTACGTTTGTGCACAGTTGTAAACAGGTTGGTTGGAAAGGACCTCTGGGTGTTGCATAGTCCAGCCTCCCCGCTGAAAGTAAATCGCATCTGTTGCAGTTTTGTCTTGACAGCTCTTGAAACAATCAAAAAAAAAATTTCATAATTTGTCCAGGTTAACTACCTTCCAAGTAAATAATTGGTTTCATAATGTCCTCTTTGGACGTCCCGAGCCACTTCTGCCCGTAGTTTCCCGTTATATTGGCTACCGCTACCAAGGAGAGTTTAGCTCTGTCGTATTTGTAACACCCCTTCAAGTAGTTGTAGGCTGCTGTTACATGACCCCTTATGCTCTTCAACAGGCAAGATAGATAGGCCCCGGATCCCTCAACCTGTCCTTCAAGGTGATGGGATTTAGATCCCAATCATCTTGGTAGCCTTCACTGGAGATGCCCCGTCTTGATCTGGGGAAGCACCAAACTGGGCCCTGTGTTCAGCCAGAGTCTCACCAGCACCAAGCAGAGAGGAACAGTAATATGTCTCAGTCTATTGGCCATACTCCTTCTAATGTAGGCTACTGTGTGATTTGCCCTCTTTGGGATGAGAGCACGCTGTTTGCTCATATTGGACTTGGCTTTCCCATAACCCCAGGTCCTTTTTGGCAAAGCTGATAGCCAGCCTGCTTCTTCGCAGCCAGTACCAATGGAAGGGCTTATTCTGCCTTGGGTGCAGGGCTGAGCGATTCTCCTTATTTGTGTTTTTCCTTGTTGAACATGTTAAGGCTTCTGTCAGCCCAGTCCTTAAGCTTCTCAAAGTCCCTCAGAACTGAAGCTCTACCGTTTAGTCTGGCAACCACCCCCCCTAACTTAGTGTTATCTTAAAATATGCTGAGGGTGCATCCTGTCCCATGGTCCAGGTTTTTGATGAAGACAATGAACTATACGGGCCCTAGTATCAACCCCTAGAGTACTGAACTTGTTATGGGCCTCCAGGCAGATTGCCAAGCCACCAGTTGCCACCCACTGAGCCCGTCAGCCTAGGCAGCTTTCAATGCATCTAACAACCAGCTTGTTCACACCATATTTCCTCCGTTTGTGAGTGAAAGTGCAGTGGGAAATTATTTCAAAAGCTGTACTGAAGTCAAGATCTATTGTGTCCACTGCTCCCTCCTTGTCGATGTAGCCAGCCGTTTCATCATAGGATGCAATCAGGTTGGCCAAGTGCGATTTGTCCTTCATAAATCCATGCCAGCTGTTCTTGATTGCCTTCTTGTCCTTTCTAGGTCTCTTTCTAATAGAGCTTCATCAGCTTGCTTTCTGTATCTTGCGGTCTCTGTGGCTGCAAACTGAATCTTTCTGGTTTTCTGAACAGTTGTCAAATACCTTCTGAACTCAGACAATCATAAAAATAACACAGAGTAATTTAATAATTTGCATTTTAAATAAGATGCTGTATCTAGTTCAGGAATGCTATTTTTAAGGCTAGCTGGTAACAGCTGCTTTGTCTTTTAACGCTTCCTGAATCTTTCTATTCAATGTGCATATTTAGTATTAATAGCCCTTTAAATCCAGTAATCCATTTGCTTTTGCAAATTCTTTAATAATTCTTTTAATATTAATGAGTCTTGTACAGCACACATGAGGAGGCATGATTTTCAGTTTTATTGTGTGACAACTTCTTTGCCACTGGTGTCCTTAAGATACGTTTCTAGAACAAACTCTTCTGTGACATTAATGAGCCTGGGCTCACAGGCCCTGACCTTGGCTGTCCGTAAAAGCAGCATACCCGCATTCACAGGCTGATTTTTCTAATACACTTAATATCTCTGCTCCGTTTCAACCCTTTGGAGCTGTGAGTGCTCTGGAGACCTGAGGCTTCCCGTGGTGTTGGAAAGAACAGAAAGCTGCTGGGTAACAGGATGGCAACAACATCATTTAACATCGGGGGGGACGACAATTCCTCAGGCATCAGCTATAAATAATATCTTGGGGTTTTTTTCAGCATGGATTTCTTTAAAAGTGTACACTAACGTATATACCATTTATGTGGGTTAAAATGTACACGAAATACACTTGTACTTAATACAACTGTTGTAATTCTTTTGTATTTATGTAATTTTTATAATATTTGTAATAAATTCTTCTGCATGCACTTTGTATGCTGTTTTTGCATGTTGCTTATTTACACTAATTTTCTACCCAGTCATTCTGGGACAGTACTAGAGGTATAATTTATGAGCTTTTCCAAGTGCTTATCAAATGCTTCATCTGTAGTATTAGATGCATAGACTCTCTGTAGGCTGGAGGACCACAGTATAGTACAAATTTTAGCTCTGTTAAAATCTGGCATTATTTTATTCTTCACTAAGTAGCCTGAAAACAGAAACAAATTTGGGATGCTCAGCCTCTTGCATTTTTAAGCAGCTTTTTAATGTAATTCAGAAACTTTATCAAGGATTTGCAAAGTCTCCCTACAGGATATTAAGACAGTGTTAAGGCTTAAATCTCAGTCTTTCATCAGTCTCAGACGGCTTTTTTTCTCCGTCTTTTGGCAGAACAGATGGCAGTTCCGAAGGAGAAATACCAAATTCGTTGTTTTGTTACTGCGGAGTAATTATTATCCGGTAGCTGGAGATGGCGCTCTCTGCCCACAAATTTCTGCCTTGACCACGTTTGCTGCTCCCCAATGCCAGGCTGAAATTATGCTTCCATTTCTTTAAGAAATCGTGCTGGGGAAAAGGGGATGCTTTACACACTTGGTGCAGTAATATGACAATCATCTCCACAAACGCCAGCTGACTGGGGACAGACCCATTAACTACTCCTAAGGTGGATCTTAAGAAGCCTGTGGTTTACGTAACGTAACGCCAACAATAATGCGTGGGATTTCGAAAACTCTTATGTGTTCTGCCAACACGGACACTGCAAACCTTGTGTTGGCAAAATATCTTCAGGAAAAGTAATTAATTGATTGGATTCATTTGTTACCGTCTGTCAGGGAAAAATAAAATAAAAAAAAAAGTGTGTAGTTCACTGGATATGGCAAAAGGATTGCCTGTCACAGACCCCGCAGGCAGGAACAACAGCCCTGATGTCCTCCATACCTGAACAACACTTAATTTGTGTTGGCCATTAACACTCATTTGATCACAGAGCCTAGTGTTTCAGGAGGGTCTGGCCTTTGGGTTTGTGCGGGAATGCAGGCACCCGCGCGTTGCCTGTAGGAGCGATGGCTGTCGCCAAACTTTGTAGAGTTTTAGTTCCAAATGTGTGCACGGGAACTGGTTAATGCAGTTAAATGCACACGGCCTATAAACTGGCTAGACTCCCCTCATTAGGGGAGGCTGCTGTGAAGGTCAGTAGACACAACCAGTGCTGATGGTCTGTCTGTTGGTACTTGCAGAGCTCAGGAGCTCTTCTGGTGTGGCAGAAAACCTGCCAAGTCTGACAGGCTGGGGGGAGTCACTCAACTGCCCCCGTCCACGTGGCAGCACGAAGCAATCTCAGTGCGTAAGCTATCAGTTGTTTGTGGAGCAACCCAGCAGGATGTTTTGTCTCCCATGATCGTGCATCCAGGGAAGTGGTTGAGTCTCCATCCTTGGAGGTATTTAACAGACGGGTAGACGTGGTGCTCGAGGACATAGTTTAGTGGTGGACTTGGTAGTGCTAGGTTAACGGTTGGACTAGATGATCTTAAGGGTCTTTTCCAACCTTAATGATTCTATGATTCGATGATTCTTGTCAGGTGTGGCTGCAACCCACCATCTACCCGCAGATGCACAGCGTGGAGGGAAGGGGGACATTGCAGAGGAGCGCTGCTCCAGCCGCCCTTTCCCGGCAGTGGTGCAGCCGCCCCGTCACATGAGGCGCTGCACCAGAGCCACCACATCAGAAAAAGTGAGGGAACAGAAAGGAAACGAGGAGATTGTTTCAATCTTTGGTGAAACATGTGCAGACATCAATGGAAGGTATATCTGAAGGCTGAGGAGAAATTACACTTATGGTAGCTTTCCTATAGTCGGCAATAGCTGACCAGAGTAGCCCCATTCAGTGCAGGTAACCTGTGGGATCGCTACCAAAAGGAAAAATGTTCTTCTCTCTGCTGTTGCATAACATCTTGGGCTTTCTGTGATTAACAAGAGATTTTTCATCAGAACCCTTAGGATTAGCCTATCTAAACCTACAAAATGAAGAAAAAGTGATCTTCCCTTATTTGTGTACCAGATCCATGGAGCCAGGAGCAGATCTTTGGAATAGTGCATTTAACAAAAAAAAAAAAAAAAAAGTCAATTTAAGAGCAAATCAATCTTACATGAGCTGAACATTTCTAATGTAAAAAGGCAGCTGAATTAGAGGATTAGGTCACACTGCCCGATTAACATCATTTGATCTTCTGCTATTGAAAAGCCACTGGGCTTCTTAGAGAATGGAAGCATTCAAACTTTAAATGAAACCACAGGCCTGGCTTAGAAAAAAACTGCTAAACTGAAAACAACTTGCCTTGCTTCAGTAATTGTGGGTTTCTCTCTGCTGCTGGGGGATGCATCCAAATCAGGATTTAGAAATCCCTCACGTTGCGATATAACAAAGAAGGGCTACAAAACTGAACGAGGGCATCTCAGGCACTACCTGGGAGAGGCTTACAGCATATGGAGCTTGCCTGGTTTTGCCATATCATATTTCTTTCTTGTTTAAAGGTGGAAGAAAGATACTCAAAGGTCGGTTTGATGTTTGTTTTCTTTGTAACACATTCACTGTCAGTTTTGCTTTTTAACTTTTGGGAGGGGAGGAGGCGACAAAAAAAATGAAGCTCACCCTGGACTGCAAGGCCCACTCAGGATCTGAGCGGTACCCACTGATGACATTTGATAAGAAAGCAAGGGAGGAAGGGAGTTCTAGTTGCGTTTGTTATTTTTTTAAACGATATTTGTTTTAACTTGAATGACTAATGAACATTTTTAATGAAGGGAAGTTTTGTTAAAGTTTTAACTCGTGCTTGGGTGCTTCCAAGCAAAATCGTAACAGATCAGCCTTGATCTTCTGGAATTTTCTAAGGTAAAACAAGAAGGAAAGAACATTTATATGGTATAATTAAGGCCTTTGGCACTGAAAACACCAAGAATAACAGTGAACCTCACATTAAAAAATCCTCTGGCTACCTCTCATATCTTTTCTGTTAAAAAGTTTATACTGTTTTCACTTATTGTCCTTAAATGAGTTTTGAAAAGATTTTTACAGTCCCCTGCCACTGTCAACACTTAGTAAAGTAAATAGCAAGCAGACAGAAATTAAAGAATTTATTTCCTATCTCTAATGACCTGATGATCAGTTTGCTCAAAGGGGTTTTCTGTGCTCTTTGGAAAGTATTAACCAGTATTCACAAGCAGCCTCTTTTTTTTTATTATTTGAAAAAATGCTCATTTACAATTCATGATGTTATTTTCAGTCATGGTGTTATTTCAGTTGCTATATATGGAGAAAAACAATATTTTAAAATACGGAAAAGCTATGAATATTCTCGCTGTTCCCCCCGAATCATGCTTTTAGGCACTGTGCGTTCATCGAACGAGCGCACAGATCCTGCTCAGTCTACTGCATTTTCAGCAGTCTCCCAAATGCCAGCCAAGTCAGACCCTGCTTAGCTTCCAAAATCAGATGTGATCGGGCATGTAACAATGTAAAGAAAAATAAACCCTGAAAGGCAGTCTGAATTATAATGTAAATTTCTTTCTGACATGCAAGAAAGAACAAAATGGAAGTTTTATCACAGCTCTGCTTCCTTTTGAGTGCCCCCACCCACCCTTATTACTGTGAGCAACGTTTTCTCAAAATAAAGGCACACTGATTTGTTTGTTATTTTAGGCTCTGAGAAGAAGGTCAGACTGGAACGCTGTCCAAAGATATGCCTCTGGTTCCATTAAGGACCTATAACTGTACTGATCTCCATCCGTTGCAAACCAGTTCATTGTCTTCCAGGGAGAGCTGTATGATGATACTATATAACTCTGTATATCACTTTATAGCCGTGTGTCCTCATGCATCTTTGCAGGATGTGATTGTGCTTCATTCCTGTTGGTTCTGACACAGGGAGAGATGCACGTAATTAGTGGCATTAGCCTCATGCCTCCCTACTGCGCTGCTATTATTTTGCTGGCTGGTGACACAGCTCCAAAGCCCCCCTTCCCCTCTGTCACCCTGCATGGCGGCCGCAGCTGGGCGGCCTGGTTTGTGCTCTGCCA